CATGTGCCCAGCAGTCGGGTCTGCACTCAGGCAGACAGCAGTAGTCCACTTCTCAGCACCAGGGCGGGCAGCAGCCTCGTTCCTCGAGTCAGCAGCCAGCACAGCCCGGACAACAGCAGTTTTAGTGCGGCAGAGGCCGCGGTCGGGGATGTGGTCGCGGCGGCAGGGGCCGCAGAGGTCACGGATAGAATTAGGCCCAGTACTGACAGCCGATGTACTGATACCCGTAGCAGGGACAGTCCGTGTATAACCCCGGAGGGGGGTTCGGCCAGTTCCAGCACGATATGCTCCACATGCAGGGGGTGTGACATCTACGGGTACTGTTATTTGTGATTCTGCTATGTCACATTTAAATATTAATGCCTTACCTGTTAGTGTTACTAATGTTAGATCTGCAGGCTTACCATCAGATGGGGGTATTCTTGGGTAAGTTCCCCATCCTGTTGTCTGTCAAATTTGCTTCTCTGCAGGTCATTCAGCTGTCACATGTCCCTCTCGTTTCACACAACCATCTGCTCCTGCCTTGTTGACTACTCCGGGTGAAGCTAATTCGGCTCTATGGTATCCTGATTCGGGAGCTTCTGCTCATATGACTGCATCTGAAGGTATTTTACTTAATAAATCTCCTTACACCTGCTATAATTCTGTTAGTGTTGCTAATGGTGCCCATTTACCCATTTGTCATATTGGTGATGTTGCTTTACCTTCTTCTGGCCGTCCTCTCACTATAAAATCATCTTAACATGTGCCTCAGTTAAAATATTATTTAATTTCAATTCAACGACTTTGCGCTGATAATAACTGTACTGTGATTTTTGATAAAAAAAATTCTTTTTTGATTAAGGACAAAGCCTCGAGGGTGGTGCTTCTGTGAGCTACCAGTAGTGGGCCACTTTATCCTCTCAGTCTGCCATCATCACCACCATTAGTTTTAGCTTCTGTCTTAGCTTCTAGCCCTGTGTGGCACCGTAGATTAGGTCACTGTGGTGACAATATTTTACAGTTCTTAAGCGAAAACAATTTTTATGTAGTCATTCTCCATTTACCCACGATTGTGTGACTTGTCGTTTAGGAAAATCACAACGTTTGCCCTTTATGGATGCTAATCATACTACTTTATTTCCTTTGGAAATTATTCATTCCGATGTGTGGCAATCTCCTATTTCTTCTAATTTGGGATTCAAGTATTATGTGTGTTTTATTGATGATTATTCCCGTTTTACTTGGATTTTTCCCATGATACACAAAAGTGAGGTTTTTATGCACTTTAAAAATTTTAAACTTTTGGTTGAAAATCTTTTTAAGAAAATTAAAATTTTTCAAAGTGTGTATTTATAAGGCTACTCCATTCGTATATATAAGTAGATAGATTCAACAATTTGATGACTTTTTTTATATTTTCACATGAATTTAATAAATTAAAGATGATATTTATCCGGTGTATTTCATTTTGCTATGTTTTTAGTATTTGTGAATTTAAATACGAAAATGTCAATCTCTTGAATCTTTTCTAGTATTTAGTATGCGCTTTCTTGTATGTTCATTAACATTTTATGTGAGTTGATTGGTGTGATGATATCTAATAATTGCAAAGTTTGTCCAAATTTTTTAGCATGTATTGATACTCAACTAGCAGAACTTATGATTTTCATATTTCATATTTTAGAAGTATAATATTAAATTAGATTCGGAATTCATAAGAGTGAGTTATATATATAATTTAAGAAATTTTTATAAAAGCGAAATTTAAAAAAAGAAAACAAAATTAGATTATACGGAGTATAAAATAGATATCAATGTGCTCATTATTATGTCCCTAATACTCAACAGAATAGGTCTAACTAAAAGTGCATTAATGTCCATTTAATAGAAACCGAGATTTTCACCAAAATTACGCAAATCTCACCAACTGTACGATGCAAACTGTACAGTCGGCAATACGGTACTCAACTCTCAACACATGTTTAAATTAGGGCTGTGCAAAATGGTTTGGTTTGACCGAACCGAACTGAAAATTGTAGGTTTGATTTGGTAGCAATTTGCTCAAACCGAATGGTTTAGTTTGATTTGGTTTAAAACCGAAAAACCGTAAATCGAATCGAACACCGAACAACTTGTAATATATAAATACTTTGTATTTTTCTTCACTCTTCATCTTTAGGATATAAAGAAATAATTCACGCATAAAAAATATAAAGTTAGCATATATCATTTTAACTTTTACACATTTCGTACATTCATTATGACAAAGTTAGCTAATATGACATATTTGTATTTGTTATGTTTTGTACTCTACTTGTATGAAAAGATATTTAACGATAACAATTAACAGCAAATTACATTTATATTTTTAACATAATTTATTTGAATAAAATTGTGAATATTACAACACTTGCACCAAAGACTCATATTGTTTTTTTTAAAAAAAATATTTTATGTGATATTATAAATGTTAATCAACTATAATTTTAGTTTTTGTGAGAAGTTAATCTTTTTCTAGTGATTGAAAAGATGTTAGAAGTTTTAATTTTACGTAGTAATATTTTACAATATTTCTTTTTCTATCTTTTATTCCCTTTTACATTTTATTTAAATAATATGAGAGGACTACTACTTCCATGTTCTAATTCTAAAATATAGATATTGATCAAATAAAATACGGAGTAATAAAAATAAGAAATTGAATCAAATCAAATTAAATTGAACCTAATTATTTTCACTTTGGTGAACTGAACTTCAAACCAAATCGAATCAAAACACAAATGGTTATAGTTTGGTACAAATATCTCAAACCGAATAAATCGAAACCGAACCGAAACCGAGAAAAACTAAATCATAAACCAATTGTCCACCCCTAGTTTAAATTACGGAGTATATAACAACTTTTTAACCACCTCAACTCTTCAACTGTCTTTTTTTAGAAAAATGCGTGGTGTACACAAAAGTTTTACATTTTTTGTACACTTAGCTTATCTGTCTCCCGTAGACAAGTTGTCTGTCCACAAACAACTCTACAGATAGTTGTACACTCTAGGGTTGTTTGTGGACAAATAACTTGTTTGCGGGGACACACAAGTATACAAAAAAAAGTACACCTAGCTGCTCTCATTTTTTTATCATCAAAACAGACCTCTATTCATATCAAAAAATTCATGATCATTACATCAAGCAAAGGGAAAATAAAACTGACACCAACTGAAACTCCAACAACTACGACTGTAACCTTATGGTGAGACTTTGAGACGGTCACCCCTGAAAGAGCAACACGAATCGTTAACCATGTAGTGGGCGTGACACAGTCAAACTTGTTCCCATAGATCCAACCATACCCAATGACATAAAGAGAGGCTAAAAACTCAAACAAATTGACAAGACCAACAACAAAGATCAACACAAGAAAACAAATGACAAACAGATAAAAATTACTAGAAAAACTTTCACGGGCTCTAGCACCTCGTACAACCCATGGTGGTGGTTCGGGCGGAGGTCGGACCGCCGCTCGATTGATACCCTCTTTCAGTGGCGTACCCGCCGTATGACCCAAATCCATTCCATCGAATGGAGCTTTTAGCCTCTCCACGCTAACCCTGTCCCGATCATCCCTACGTCTCTCTTGCTTCTTCCACCATCTTCTCGTTGTCACGATCATCCATCTCGAGCTACATCCAAACCACAGCAATACGGCGCAGTGCTACGTCGATTGAAAGAAACGCCGCACCAGGGCGGCGAAGTAAAAACCCTACGCGAGAGATCTCGCTGGGGAAACACTAACCGAACTTCGATCAAGAAATATCGAAATCGGAAATTACCTAGCGGCTCTGTTAGTTTATTAGCGTATAATTCCCATATAATACACTCAAACGTATAATTCACGTATAATACTCCCGTTTATGAATTTTTCAGAAAATTCTGGAAAATTCACGTACTTTAAGGATAAAATGTGTAATACACGTACCGTACGTATTGATACGTATTTTATTCAAAAACAGACAACATTAAACGGAAGCCTAATGGAGTGATACAACTGAAATGAAATGTCTAGCTGCTCAATACTATATATATTGCTTAAAAAATTAATGCTTATATGTTCGTTAATTGTTTAATAGTCATTAGATTTAATAAATTAGCTTCCTAAAGTCGTAATTTGTTTCGATATTACTATTGTACTACTATTGTACTACCTCCGTCCCGCTAAGATTGTCCCATTTTACCATTTCGGTCCGTCCCACTAAGATTGTCTCATACCTTATTTGGTAAAGTTTGTGTGGCTCTAAATCATTCTTACTTTATCAATTCAATATCAACCACATAAACCACTTTTTATAGATTTGCGTGTCACTCCCTCTTGTCCCATTGTTAGTGGGACGGAGGGAGTATTATTCTTGTTCTCCACCCATACCAAGACTCCAAAGAGAAAATTATTATGGCGGCTCACCAAACCTCACGGTCATAGTGATATCAACTATTCTCTAGTAATATCTCTCAAATGGGCAATGTCATTTTTATTACTTATTGTTCCTATGAATTCAAATTCGTATATCTGAACAAACTATTCCATACATTTTAAACAGTTGAATAATGTGGTGCATATGTTAAATAATTAACTATTTATTTCTATCATTAAATTAGTATATACAACACATATTATATGTCGGATTTTAAAATTGTGAAACGTTTAAAACACGTCTGTATCTTTATCTGTTTCACGAACATATGAAACATATATGAAACTGTATTTTATATAATTGTATCGTATTATACACGAATGTACGTATTATTGTATTATTCACGATCTACGTATCTTATACTCCCTCAATCCCCTTTTAAATGTCTCGTTTTACCATATTGGGATGTCCTTATTTACTTGTCTCATACCTTATTTGATAAAGTTTGTGACTCAAAATCATTCTTACTTTATTCTTACTTTATCAATTAATTTTAATCACACAAATACACTTTTCTTAGAACTCGTGTCATTCTCTTCTGGAGCATTTAAATGGGAAAAAGGGAGTATCTTTTAATAGCTCAGGGATGACATCATAATCCTTCTCCCGCAAGACATCGGAAATCCATATGAAAATCACCATCGCTTGGCGAACCCCCTTGCATAAGATACCCCAGATCAACACTGGAAAGGAGAAATTGGAACATTTTAGGGCAAAAATATGGATTTTGAGTTGAGAAGAGCGAAAGAGAAGCTGGAAAGAGAGCAGAAGGAGAGGAAAGAGACGGCCAGGTTGAAGTTGGAGAGGGAGAGGAAATTTAAACAAGAGGCTATTCGGCAGCGGGAAGCCATTGAAGCCGCCCAACGCGCTCGCCGTCTTGATGCTGCTGAAGCCGAAGCTAAGGTATATATTCTCTGCCTTTTCTCTGATTTTGCTCTGAAGATCTCTCCTTTTTGTGTACTCGCGTACTATTTGATGATCAGCATATCTGCGTTCATTTTAGTATTGTCTTCACTGTGTTCCAATTATTGTGATTCTGAATTTGCTTTATCGCCTGCGTAGTACTCATCTACCCAATAACCTAAATGTAGATATTCTTAGAACTACTACTAGTTGACCTGAATTCTTGTGTTCAATTCCCTCCCTTTTACTGATGACCGATCAGAATGATCGAGAAAAAGATGAAAAGATACCAATACTAATAATACCAGATCATAAACCATCATACTTTATACATTAGGATTTTTCAAGTCTCACAAGATACTAATGCTCCAAAATCTGTTGGGACTAAGGCTTGGATTTGTTTGTATATTACGGAGTACAAGATACTAATATAGTACTAATGGGAAAATGGAAACAAATGTGATTGTGAGGGATTATCTCGGAACCTACAGTAGTCCTACCAATAAATTTTCTTGTTTTCTTAACTCATAAACTATGGTAGTTGTGTCCATACCATGCTTTTATCGTGGACTTGTGGCTTTACTTTCTGCATTTTCACTGTAACAAGCCATACATGAGTAACGACACTGCACATGAAAAAATAGAGTTTTAGTCACTTTATCTCCCTTCCGTACAAAAAATGGCAAACCTCGAAGGCATTTTTTTTCTTCGCGTTGTCCCATTTAATAATTATTACTATCTCAGAGTATTACACGTGTTTGTGTGATCAAATCTTCTACCTCATGTTTGTTGTCTCATTTATGTTACTCATTCTGATTGGTCGATATTCTATATGAGGTCAAGAATATATAAATATGATATCAACCAGTAGAAAAGAAAAGTGGGATAAAAGAGTTCAATTTGTGTGGGTTGTGCGTCTATAAGTGCTCTAGAAATCCACTCCTGGGCGTTAGTATACTATTTAGAAGCTGACTAGTGTTTTTCAGAACATTGGTGTCTGTGCAGTGTGCACATTCCTGTGTGATAATGCATGGTCATCGTATATGTATAAATAAGAATTGCAAATGTCTGTTTCAGGCAAACCAGCAAACAGAGGAAAACCTTATAGCTGGACGTGGAATCGTTTTTTGCCGTGTTTTAGAAGCTGTGCCTTATCATGGGAGTGGAGATAAAATAAAACTGCCATCATCTTGTTTTACTGAATTATCTGAACAAGGTGCCTTTGAGAAAGGACCTTTACACTTCTCTTTGTCTGTGATTCATCAAAACATTCCCTCAAATGGAAACAATGAAACACATGCTGGTGTTTTGGAGTTCACTGCAGAGGAGGGTTTCACACAACTCCCCACTCACATATGGACTAATCTATTCCCTGCTGAACACGCTACTTCTCCTACAATTGAAGTGCGGTATGTGTGGTTACCAAAAGGAACTTATGCAAGACTTCAGCCTGTTGAAACAGGGTTCTCCGACATCCCTAACCACAAGGCTGTTCTTGAAACAAGCCTTCGACAACACGCCACACTATCAGAAGGAGACATTCTCACTGTAACACACGGTGTACTGACATACCATTTACGTGTTCTTGAGTTGAAACCTACTTCCAGTGTATCTGTTTTGGATACTGATATAGAGGTTGATGTAATAGGTGCGGACCCCACTTCAAATGGAACCACATCAAGTCAACCTATACTAAGACCTCTAACATTTGGGAAGCCCGAAAGTGGAGTCATTGAGGAGGGAAACTATACATACTATAAGTTCTCATTAGATGAAGGCACTTGGGAAAGGGTTTCCTCTGGGGATGCTGAGATAGAGGTGAAGATAGACTCGACAGCAGAAGATGGAGACACTGATTTGTATGTTTCCAGACACCCACTGTTATTCCCAACACAACATCAACACGGATGGTCATCCCATGATGTCGGTTCAAAATCCTTGGTTCTTGGTTCCCAAGGCTTGGGAGTAGGTTCTTACACTATTGGCGTTTATGGTTTCAAGGGAACTACCAAGTTTTCACTTTCAGTGGCTGTTCAAGACAAGTTGAAGTCAAAGGTGGGACGACAAACATCACATGTTGAGACAATGGACACTGTTGAATGCCGGAATTGCAAGCATTTCATACCTTCCAGAAGTATAGTGCTACATGAGGTTTACTGTGCAAGGCATAATGTAGTGTGTCAGTATGTCAATTGTGGGATTGTTCTTAGGAAAGATGAGGCAGAGAACCATGTCCACTGTGGGAAATGTGGACAAGCTTTTAAAAAAGAAGAGATGGAGAAACATGCAAAAGTTTTCCATGAGCCACTTGCTTGCCCGTGTGGTGTTGTCCTTGAGAAAGAAAAGATGGTAAGAATGTACTTCCTAGCTATTTTCTAATCCGGTATATGATTTGATTTCATAAGTATTGATTTTCATACCAACCTTGCATGTTTTCACTTTTCACGTTATTGTAGTCATGCACACATTTTGACATTATTGACTTATGGTAGCCTCTTTTCATTATCATTTATCATAGGGAAAGTTCCCGAAATAGGACTACAACAGTTTGATAATTCCAAAATAGGACTGCCATGTTTTTTATTCCCAAAATAGGAGTAATTAGTTTCAAGTTTGGAAAATACTGCCATGTTTGAAGTCTGGTACTGCCAAAACATGATAGTAATTAGTCCTATTTTGGGAATAAAACATGGCAGTCCTATTTTGGAATTTTCAAACCTTATTAGTCCTATTTTGGGTAATATTCTCTTAACTACTATTATTAGGCTTAATCATGTTCCTTCATCTTTGCCAATACATCTTTTTTACCCCATCCTTGGTTAAAGGTTCCCATTGTAAAGTGACACAATAATTTAGACAATAATTAAATAAGGTAATTCAAGTATATTTTGAGAAATAGTTTTGATGGGTATATAATATAATGGGATCATTGATGATAGTTGTGATGTTATAGATGTTTTATTTTTAATATTTGATAAATAAATTGTCAATTAAGAGTGTTAATTCTTTCCTAAAATAGAAATGAGAACATTTAGTTGGGATGTCCAAAAAAGGAAAGTGAGAGCCTTAGGCTGGGACGGAGGGAGTATTTGTTTGAGGTCCATGTAATTTTTATTTCACTCCCATAGTTACAGTTCTTTTCAGTCCTTCACCAGCAATAACTTTTTTAAAAGGAACAGATGTTGCTCACAGACACTGTAGTTTGAACTTTTCCCTTCATTTTTTTAAAAATGTTTTGTATTTCATTTCCCCATCATTCAAAAAAGTTGTATAGCATCAGTGAGACGGTGACTATTACTATGTGGAAGTTGTGGCCTAACAAAAGTCAGCATTCCAATTTTCAAATTGTACCTCTGGGAATATAGTATTAAGCATTTAAAATGAAGTGGAGAAACCATTTCCGAACTACGTGGGGGACCGTCAGTTTTTTAAAATGAATGTAAATGGATCAAGACTAATGACAAATAGCAATTATTTTATTGAGACGAAAAACTATACATAGTATCAAAGAAAGAAGCATTATATTTGCAGGAAGGAAAATATATTTTTGTTACAGAACGAAAAGCATATTTAATACTATTGTAATTACTACTACCACTACCATCATCATCATCACCATCATCATTATTTTGTGATTGCAATTGCCTTCCTATCTCTCTGAGGAACAGATGCAACATCAATCCTTTGAATGCCATTTGCGGTTAATTACATGCCGCTTCTGTGGAGACATGGTTCAAGCTGGGAATTCAGCCACGGTAAATGCAAGAGACCGGCTGAGAGGACTTACAGAGCACGAGAGTTTGTGCGGGTCAAGAACAGCCCCTTGCGATTCATGTGGCCGAGCAGTTATGTTGAAGGATATGGACATTCACCAAATCGCTGTTCACCAAAACAACTGATACAAGCTAATTATGCTATTCCACATTCTTATCTTTCCTTTCACAAGGAAGAAAGAGGGCCTATGTTTATCTGCTTCGTGCGCCTACATATTCTATATGAATTTGCCAAAAAGATGAACCAGAAAACTGCTGCTACTCTGATCCCAGCCCTGAGTCGGTTGATGCAAGCTGTTTTATGCAACACCAGTTATATTTATTTGTGGGCTATTGTTATAATTACCATTTTTTAGTATGGCGCTCTGTCTCACATTGTAGTTCAATTTGTGTTCTAAGGAGTATTTAAGTGAGAGATGGGCAAAATGGTTTGATTCAATCGAACTGAACCAAATTGAAAAGTGAAAATTGAGATTTTGGTTTGGTTTGGGTTCACTGAAGTAAACTATTTGGTAACAATTTGTTCGAACGGAATAGTTGGATTTGGTATGGTTTTAAATTGAAAAACTGTCAAGTGAAGTGAACAATCTTTAATATATATTTAAATGCTTTGTAATTGTCTTCACTCTTTATCATCTTACTCTATATAAAAAGAGGTGGAAAAACTGGCCACTTTCCCTCCAAAAGATACGGGTCAAATATGGATCACAATCGGGTCATGGATGCTGCAGCACTAGCAATTGATCAGATGTACATTGGGAGAATAATTATCTTGGAACTCGCTATTGCCAGCTTCTACAATACGCTACTTGACTTTTCAAAATTTGAAAACATGTGCTGCCAGCCTAAGGATTATCTAGCATGTACTCAGAATCTATTATCTACTGAATAATAGTGTGTTGCGCAGTATTATGGAGTATTAAATTAGATAGCACAATAATACAAAGCTCACGAGTCACGCCCAAGTCTCAATTCCCCTATAAATAGCCTCCGGCTAATAATCACAACCCAAAAAGCTCATGCTTTTCTTCTCCCTCAAGCTCTCAATCGCCGGAAAAATCGGCGTTGTTAGAAGATCCATTAATTTAAGGCCGGAGTCGGTAGGTGCTAAAGTTTGGGATGAAAGGGATGTGGACCTAGCAATTCAAGAATGTGAAAGATTATACCTCTCCGCTAGATGATCGGTGAAGCTGTACAAAAGAAATAAGTTGTGGGTGAGCCCAAGAGGTTGGATACTACCGATTGGGGAGAATCAATGTTGAAAGCTATTCTAGAATTTTGTAGGTGTAATTAGGAACTTCAATTTTTATTTCTTGAGTTCATGGCTAGAATGAGTATCTTATTATCAGTACATTCGATTTATTTCTTTTAAACTACGTATTAGTTAAAATAATCGTTCCCAAGGTCCTTCATTATCTTTTCATTCAAAAAAAAAGTTCCTTCATTATCTCATACGATGATGCGAGTATTATACCTTACTCCGTTGTTGGTTAGACTATGTGCAATCATTACTCCATCAATTAAAGAAAAAGATCAGTATTCAGAAAAAAAAAAAGATCAGTATTCAGTACTTCAAATGGGGGTGTCATCCTTTCCTATTGCAAATTTGCAACTGTGATATGTACGAAAGTACAATTCTTTTAAAATGTAATACTCCGTACATAAATTAAACCCTTAGCTTTAGTATTATACTATCTCCATAGTATGATGGGAAGATAAGAGAATAATGTGATGGAATATAGGATAAGTCCAAAAAAGTAGTTGTAATAGTGTATTATTTTCAGAATTAGTGAGGGTATGATGGGGAGATTTAGAAATGAGAAGATTTTTTGTTACGGACGAAAAAGGAAAATGAGAAGATTTTTTTGTTACGGAGGGAGTATATTTCTTCTGAACTTTCATGTTTGTCGACGCGCAACTTTAATCGTAATTATATTTAATTACGTATTAGTAAAAGTTAGAAAAAGTTAATATTTTGAATATTCACATCAATAGAAATTTAATAACATTTTAGAGCTTTTAATGAGATAGTATATTTCAAAAAAATATGAATATTTATAATTTCAAACAGTCAAACAATTAGATGCATAAATAAATAAATTAGGAATTGGCTTTTATTTGAAAGCATTTCCACGCATCTCCCTTTGAGCAAATGATAAATATTAGTAAATTGAAAAAATATTTCTATTTAATTTTGTTTCTTCACACAATTTTTTTTATTGTTATGGCTTACGTGATGGATAATTATGAGAGTTCATGTGATTGAAACATAAATGCATCGATTGCATAATTCCAAAACGTTTAATGTTCTATTTTACTGTATTCAATTTGTTTTTTGTTTAGCGGTGATTTGTGTTGCTCTATAAATCTATAATAATAATTGTACATAGGGCAATTATTAGTTATTAATTTATTTATAGTGTTGAATTATCCTATTCTATGCACCAAGGAAATGACGGGTTTACGGGTTTTCATGCTGTCCTCAAAACAAGGGGCTGATTTATTATACTCCGTCCGTTATTTCTCCCTCTAATCTTTGACACAATATTTATGAAAAAAATAATAGGGTAAGTATAGAGTATGTAAGTAAATGATAAAGTAGGAAAATATATATTAAAAAGAGTTAAATGATGATATAGTAGAAAAGATAGTATATGAAGTAGAGTAAAATGATGATAAAGTAGGAAAGAGAAAGTAGTTTTTAAAATGTAAGAAGGATAAAAGTAATAAAAGTAAGAGTATTTTATAAAAAACATTCCTAAAACAAAAAGAAGGATATTTAATAAAAAAAACAGATGAAAATGGAGAGCCCATTTGATAGCATGAAAATCGGCTGATTTGACCGATTTTGCTAAAACTTAGGAAGTTTTGGCTGAAGTGACTGCATTGGCTGATTCTGCTGACTTAACCAAAAAAGTGTAAAATAGCTAAAATGAGAGTTCATGTGTGAAAATATATGAGGTTTCTGGCTGCATTGGCTCATATCAGCCGATGAGGTTTCTGGCTGCATTGGCTCAATTTCATGTGTGAAGAAATATATGAGGTTTCTGGCTGCATTGGCTCAAAAAAAGTGTAAACCTTATTTTTTTTTATTAATAAAATAAAGAATTTTTTTAATGTAAAATAGCTAAAATGGTCATCTACGGTAACTTCTGTCAATACAGTCAGAAAAGTAACTTCAACCTTACTTTTTCTGCTTATTACACAATTCAGTGCGCGAAAAAGTTGGTTTATAAGCCCGATAAGCCAAAAAGCATTGTTGTCAAACGACCTCGGAATAAAAGACAAATATTAAAAAATGAAGGGAGTATGAAAAAAAATCGATCCGGAAAGCCCTATTCCAACCCAACTTTGAAAGGGGTGGGGGCCAAACAAAAACTAAGAACCCCATTTTTCTTTAAATTGTTCTAATTTTCTTACCTGTATTCTCATTTTTATAAATATATATATATATATATATATATATATATATATATATATATATATATAAAATCATAACTTTTTATGAGCTTTTATATTACACCAATATTAAATACACAAATTTTAACTTTTTTGTTTGTTTGAAAACCTCCTCCAGTTGAAACTTTAATTTTAAAACTATATATATCCAATATGGTGTAATATGAAAGATTATAAAAAGTTACGAATTTTAATATTTTTTTTTGTAAAAATTAGAATGTATATAAAAAGGTAAAATATTTTAAAAAATAATCATGTTTATATTTTCCATGGATCCCATTTGTTTTCACTCGGAGTGCCTTCACCCCATTCACTTTTTTTTTTAAAATTTATTTTCTATAGGCAATGCCCCTATTTATTTACTTCCAATAATAACATTTTAGTTATAAAAACTATTAATACCATATTATTATTTTGGAAAATATATTATACCGTGCATCGCACGGGTGAAATACTAGTATGATATAAATAAATAACTTAGATATGAAAATTACATATACCATTTTAATATTTGCATGTTCCATACATTCGTTATGAAAAACCATAGCTAATATAACATATTTGTATTCGTTATTTATGTACTCTGTATAAAAAGATGTTGTCAATGACAGTGTTACATTGCATTTATATCATTTTCAACTAAATTAAAGTACATTATCCTCCTTTCTATTTATATGATTCATCGGAGTAAAAATATGAATTCTACAACACTTTTTTACTGCCAACTCAAACGGTTTTCTTTGCATTTGATGTGATGTTATAATGTTAATCAACTTCTTTCCAGTGTATCAAAAATAATAAATGTTAATCAATTACGGAGTATAAAGCTAAACTTTTGAGAGATCTTTTTTCTAGTAGTTGAGAAAATGCTAGACTTTTTCATGTCAACAATCCTAGTATAACAGTGTTAATTTATAATATTTACCCCGTTCTCCTAAGGTTGTTTCATCATTACTTTTTGATTCCTCCTATTAAGATATTGTCTCATGTCGAATTTGGTAAAGGTTGTGTGATTCTAAATCGTTTTTAATTCATTTCTACTTTATCAATTTAATATAAACCTTATAAATCCACTTTCTAATAATTGCACCACCTCCACCGATGAAGAGATCTCCACTAACATTATGCAGTTGTCTCTAGGGTTAATCCCTAGGTGTTTCTTCTGGCGGTGACGACAGTCGCCTGGCCCGGCCTTCCTTCTTGTAGCAGCGAGTGATCTAGGAGCAGACTTCAACGGCGCAGCGAGTTTCCAAACATCGATAAGGGCGCGAATCGGGTAGGGTTGTGTGCGGACTCATTTACCAATCGATGAGGGCGGTTTCCAAGCCACCATCGAGAACAAGGTGATGGCAGGAGAGCGGCGGCGAACAGGAGGGCTAATTGGGAAGGTAGATGCTCTATCAGAGATGGCTGGGCAGTGAGCACGACAAATGGGAGACAGGGCAAGAGGAATCCACTCCGATTGGTTGATACTTCGATCCACTCCGCGTCAACAATCATAGCTCTAATCCGGCCTCCTCCTGAACCACCGTCAGGGGGTTGAACGAGATGCTAGGGTTCAAGAATTTTATTTTGCTTCTTTGGATTTCTTCATGTTTTGTTTTCATATAGATCTTTACTCTGTTTTGGTTGTGACATGTTTTTACGGTAAGAAAACTCTAGAACTTAGGACAGGTGATGAGAAGTCTGATTTGCAAGTTATTGGCTCAAATAAGCCCAAAGCGGGATCAGCGAATCTAATTGCTTCTACGAAGGTGATTGATTCTAAGTCTGGTTCTATGGCGGACGGCGGACAGAAGACTTGTTGTCATTTTGTAACCTGCTTATATTCTATTTTGATAATTTAAGCCACCTTCTTCCAAAAAAAATTATTGCACCACCTCCTCATTTCTCAATGTTAGTTGGACGAAGGTAGGCATGGCCCGGATCTGGTCGGACCGGACCGGCCCGCCACAGTGCGGAACCGCACCGGACCGGACCGGTGAACCGGTACCGGGCCCAGGCCCGAACCGGGGGGATTAAGGGGGCGGGTCCGGGGTTAGATAATTAAGGACCGGCCCGGTCAGTCCGGGCCCGGTCCGAGCTTTTTATTTTTTAAATTTTTTTGAGTTTGGGCTGGGTTTAGGTGGGCTGGGCTGGGTGTTTTCGAGGGGTTTGGGGGATGG